ACCTGCAATAATTAAATGTTAAACAACACAAATATCCTTTATGTATTTAATCCCATTCTATTAAGCAATGTCTTTGCTTCTGACCTTCGATGATCCAGTTCAGCTGTACTAATAAGCACAAATTACTCTAGATGAACATTTGTGTGTTTTTTTATTGCTGAAGTGTTGATATTTCTTCTTCTGCATTCTACGGATGTACATTTACGTTCCCTTCAGCCTGAGGTTTATTCATTTCACTTTTGGTGTGAAAAGGCTTTTATATTTGCCAAAAATAGAACTTTTTTATTTTAAAAACAAACAAGCAAGCCCTGTCCAGATTTAAAAAGTAATGCAAAAGTAACGTAACGCATTACTTTCCATAAAAAGTAACTAAGTAACGTAATTATGGAGTAACGCAATATTGTAATGCATTACTGTTAAAAGTAACTTTCCCCAATACTGGATTTAGTTGGATAAATAGATAATGTCCTGGCAGAAAATGACCATGCATTTTATTTATTTATTTTTTACAGTGCACTGCGGCAGAAAACAAGCGTTCGCTTTCATTTGTTCTTACTGTTACTAATGATGTTACTGTTCTGCATGCTCATTTTTACATGATTGTTTATATCCTGCCGTAGATTACAGCAGAGGCTCGCAGCAAACTGGTCAGCTGGCTCATAGCTGTACGCAGACAGCTCAAACTCTCGTTCGAATCGTGCTGTTTGGCTGTTAATATCATGGACCGTTTCTTGACCACAACCTCAGTAGCTGCAGACTGTTTCCAGTTACTGGGAGTGACGTCTCTGCTGATCGCCACAAAACAGGTCTCTTCAACTCTTATTCTCACTCAGCAACTTCATTATAAAAATAGCACAGAGTTAAGAATTACGTCTGGTTATTAGTATTCTCAATCTCTTGTGAAAAAGAGGTGCACTTAGTTGTATTGAATGTGCACTTCAAACCATAAAAGTATACTTTTAAATACTGTACTTGAAGATAATATAACATTAGTGAAATAAAAGGCCACTTAAGTGACTTAGAGACACTCTCATTACACTTTGTAATGTCAACTTAAAAGTTTTACTTAGAAGTACATCATGTTTTTATAATCTTTTGTTGTGTTTTAAAGAAGTACTCTTATTTTGATGCGTTGTCTTGCACATATTACTTATTAAGCACATAGTACTTCTTATCATTTTAACTGTAGTGTGTTTGATATTATATTTTTATGTACTAAATTGCAACTTCATTACAAACGGAATACATAATTTAATAGGTGATATGCAAGTTTCGATAGAAATGAGATTAGTTTACCATAAATGGTTGTCGGTAGTACATTTGACAGTACACTTAATAATTCAAAGACACAAGAATCAAATCAAAATGTATTTATAAAGCACAATAAAAACAACAGTAGTTGACCACTGTGCTGTACAAACCTTGCTAAAAAGACATAGAAATAAATATAAACAGTTGTTTAAGTATGTACTTAAGTCCTACTTAATCGGGCCAAAAAGCACTCTAAAATTCAGCTAATTGCATTTAATATGAACTTAAACTGTAATACATTTTAATTTAATTGTAACTATGTAATAATATACCAAGTATATTCTTTTAAAGTATAAGTTAATATGCTAAAGTGTACTTGTTTTTCACTAGGGTTAATACACACTTTTCAGGGACTATTGATTACAAAAATAGGCCAAGATGTAAATCTGAGTGAGTTGTGATTTTTGTGTCTTCCAGGTTGAAGTGTATTCACCTCGCATCACACAACTTCTGTTGCTTTGCTGCAATTCTTTTTCCAGAGAGCAGCTGTGCAATCTCGAATGCCTAATCCTTCTCAGACTCAACTTCAGACTGGCTGCACCTACCCATGCTTTCTTTCTGGACTACTTCACCAGTCGCACTACTGGATATCAGACTGATGGAGCCATGGATAAGATGGTCACTACACAGGACAGAAATGCATGGAAGGAGCCCCAGAAGACGTGGAAATGGTTGGCTTGCAAAGTCTGTGAACTGAGTTTGGCTGACTACACGTTTAACAAGTATACGCCGTCTGTGATTGTGCTGTGTGCTGTGAAACTGGCAAAAGATCTGCTGAAGACGCATTCAGCGCAGCCCACAGACAACAAGGCTGGCTCGTCAAAGACATTGGAGTCGTTCGGTTTTCAAGAGTATGCAACATTTGGAGCTCAGCTTTTGGTTCAGCAATGCACAGAAGATCTGAAATTGTTGCTTTCTCTTAATCAAGACGCAGTCCAGGACTTCATAGCACCATTATATTAGTTCATTCCACAAAATGAGCACATTGAAAATGTGCTAAAACATACTTAAGTAATTCACTTGCTGATGAAAAAAAAAAAGCAAAGATACTGTAGTAACTGAATGTTTACCGAATTTCACTTACATTTTTCTGATGTTCTTTAATACTCCATACGACTCTAAATGCTGAATTAAAGGCTGGATTTATAATCTTTTAATGCAGTCAAACGGCATTTATCCCCCAAAAAATATTTATGCAAAAGTAAGGTTTTATTTTAAATGTATGTAGAATCATCTTTTTGTATTTGTGTGATTATGGGATTGACGGATCACCTGTGGGAATTAAAAAAGTAAAAAAAAAAAGGAAGAGTTGAAAGTTTAATGAAATCTCACAGGTTTCTTAATTAAAAGGGTAATATATTTTTTTTTATACGGAAAAAAAAAAGTTTGTTTCTTCATAGCAACAGATTTGAGAGAAATTCTGATGGATGCTCTGCAGTAAATGGGTGCCGTCAGAATGAGAGTCCAAACAGCTGATAAAAACATCACAATAATCCACAGCACTCCAGTCCATCAGTTAACATCTGGAGAAGACAAAAGCTGCGTGTTTGTAAGTAACAAATCCATCAAGACGTTTTAAACTTCAAACCATTGCTTCTAGCTAAAATATGAGTCCACTATCCATAATATTGCTTTCTCCAGCCTTTGGACTCTCATTCTGACGGCACCCATTCACTCCATTGGTGAGCAAGTGATGTAATGCTAAATTTCTCCAGATCTGTTCTGATGAAGAAACAAGCTCATCTGCATCTTGGATGACCTGAGGGTAAATTTTCAGCAAATGTTTGGGTATTATTTTCGTCCCCCCCAAAACATTTCGCCATTTTAGAGAGTATCATCACAACACATACACACGCTTTCCCCTAAGCGTAAACAATGCTGATTACATTCATGCGCGCGCTTTCTCCTCCGAACGTAAACAACGCTGATTACGCTCTTGGGTACTCTCTAAAATGGCGGAAGACATAACTCGGGGGAGAAGAATTGTTAAATAAATTGTTATTTTTGTTTTCTTTGCTCTCAAAAAGTATTTTCGTAGCTTCGCAAAACTGAAGTTGAGCCACTGATATCACATGGCCTGTTTTACCGACGTCCTTACTATGTTTCTGTCTGGGAACATTACAGTTGTGTTGCTGTCTATTGCTTCTAGCTAAAATATGAGTCCACTATCCATAATATTGCTTTCTCCAGCCTTTGGACTCTCATTCTGACGGCACCCATTCACTCCATTGGTGAGCAAGTGATGTAATGCTAAATTTCTCCAGATCTGTTCTGATGAAGAAACAAGCTCATCTGCATCTTGGATGACCTGAGGGTAAATTTTCAGCAAATGTTTGTGTGTGTGTGTGTATGTGTGTGTATGTGTGCGCGCTTTCTCCTCCGAACGTAAACACCGCTGATTACGCTCTTGGGTACTCTCTAAAATGGCGGAAGACATAACTCGGGGGAGAAGAATTGTTAAATAAATTGTTATTTTTGTTTTCTTTGCTCTCAAAAAGTATTTTCGTAGCTTCGCAAAACTGAAGTTGAGCCACTGATATCACATGGCCTGTTTTACCGACGTCCTTACTATGTTTCTGTCTGGGAACATTACAGTTGCGTTGCTGTCTACGGGAGGGTCAGAGAGCTCTCAGATTCCATCAAAAATATCTTAATTTGTGATCCGAAGATGAACGAAGGTCTTACGGGTTTGGAACGACATGAGGGTGAGTAATTAATGACAGAATTTTCATTTTGGGGTGAACTATCCCTTTAAATGCCATAATACTGGATGATATACACATATTTTGACAAAAAAAGGTGCAAGAAAAGTAAACTAATGTTTGATGATATTGCCAATCAAGCATTTCTCTCGAGTGCCAAACTCCCAATAACAATTTGAAAAACCTGTACTTAAAGGGCTCATATGATGCTGCTAAAAAGAACATTATTTTGTGTATTTGGTGTAATGAAATGTGTTTATACGGTTTAAGGTAAAAAAAAAACATTATTTTCCACATACTGTACATTATTGTTTCTCCTCTATGCCCCGCCTTTCTGAAACATGTCGATTTTTACTAAGCTCATCGTTCTGAAAAGCGAGGTGTGCTCTGATTGGCCAGCTATCCAGTGCGTTGTGATTGGCCGAATACCTCAAGCGTGTGACGGAAATGTTACGCCCCTCACCATACTGTGATGCCCTGTCCGGCCGGAGCGACGAGACAAAAACATTAAAACCCATTATAAACCAGGCATCTGTAGCATCCAGTGGGGACGGATTATAATGACATACTGTCGTCTTATGCATTGCGTTGCATCGCGCCGCGTAAACATAAAACCATGTGTGCATTTGTGATCGGAGAAATGACAAACAACAAGCGCTACTCTACACTGCTCAAAACTCACGTTTGAATCATCAGTGGCAAATCCTTTAATCCCGGCCGGAGCGACGAGACAAAAACATTAAAACCCATTATAAACGAGGCATCTGTAGCATCCAGTGGGGACGGATTATAATGACATACTGTCGTCTTATGCGTTGCGTTGCATCGCGCCGCGTAAACATAAAACCATGTGTGCATTTGTGATCGGAGAAAGTCTTTGCAACTTTACAGATCTTCTTTATGCACCAAGAGCTTGTAACACTCCAAAGAGAAAGGAGAAATTGAAATCGCATCATATGACCCCTTTAATTCAACTACTGATTTGTTTACCTGTACTCTACTTAATATTATTTTGATGACGTTTCGTACTTTTTGGTTGCTTTAAAATATAGTTACCTATCTCTATGCTGCAGGCCATGTACATCGTAGAGTGGCTTCACCTCAGGTCTTGCACAAGTCGGTTAGTCAGCAGACAGGGCGTGGAGGAAATTAAATGAAATGAGAAAGTAAATGTGACAGACTTCATTACGGTGGTCGAGAAGTGCTAAACAAATCACAATTCTGAAAACAAAATAACTAATTACAAACGCAAATGCGAGTCTAAAAAACAAAATAACAATTCAGAAAGCACAACAACAATTCAGAAAACACAAGACAAATCAGACAAACCGGAAGAGGTAGGTATAGTTTGAGACAGCGCCATTGGTTTGGGATTACTCACCGCTGACTGGACGAGACATCTGTCAATCAACGTATACAGAGAAGAACCAGCCGAAGAACAGCAGAGTCCTGGTAGAAAGTTCGGAGATGGTATTAAAGTAGCTCAGTTTAAATGTATTGAATGAATTGCCCTTACTCTGGAATAAAAAATACGGAGTGTATATTTACACTTAGTTAAAAGTGGCTGTAAAACATCAGCTCCAGCGGCGCCGATGGATAAGTGTGTATCACTGGCTTTTTTTACGCGATCGACCTGGGTTCGATTCCGCCTTTTGCCGAACTTTTTTTTTCTCCCTTTTTAAATCTCGTATCACAAGGTAAAGGCATTTATTTTCAATAAAAATTAAGGAAATAATCAAAAAGTTGAAAATAAAGTAGGGTTAGGGTAGGTGTAGGGAGGGCTTTATTGTACCAATAAGGTGGCATCCATTTAATAATTAAAATTAAAATTATAATTTACACTCAATATGTTATTATTGCATACATATGGTTCAGATCATACTTAGAAGGTAGAGGTTATTATGTGAGTATAGGAGAGCATAAGTCTAAGTGGACGTCCATGACATGCGGAGTCCCACAAGGCTCAGTTCTTGCACCGCTCTTGTTTAGCCTGTATATGCTCCCACTAAGTCAAATAATGAGAAAGAACCAAATTGCCTATCACAGCTATGCAGATGATACCCAGATTTACCTAGCCTTATCTCCAAATGACTACAGCCCCATTGACTCCCTCTGCCAATATTACACAGTTGAACAAAATGGGATCAGCTTGAAGAGTTGTAGCACAGTCATCAATATACTCTGGCATGCTTCTTTTGTGGGCATAATACTGAAAACAATTCAGATTTATTACAAAGATAAGACCGATTTATTCAAATACTGCCAGTGGAGTTTCCCACCAATTTGCATTTATGTGATATTAGATAATATCCCAGTATGAGTACAACATCACAGCATTCAAACACAGTAAGAAGTCATTCAGTTTGACGATCCCAATCTCATAATTTTTACACCTAAAGCAGAATTACATGCTACCAAATTATTATTTTTTTTGCAAAAGTCCTGCAGTCTCTGCAAATTGGTGATATAAGTAAAAAGTGCATTTAAAATATAATGTTTTTGTTAAATGTGAGCCAAAATCATCACAATTAAAAGAACCAAAGACTTAAACTACTTCAGTCTGTGTGCATTGAATTTATTTAATACACGAGTTTCACAATTTGAGTTGAATTACTGAAATAAATGAACTTTTCCACGACATTCTAATTTATTGAGATGCACCTGTATATACCGTAATGGGGGAATTGTCCCTGAAATAGTTATAGCATATTGCTGGCATGGATAAAGAGTGAATGTTGTGTCAGACTCACAGACACCGTGACAGCGTTTCAGGATTGTTCCTAATAGAGAATTCCCAGTCAAGTACAGTGTCACAAATTCCCACACAATTTAATAATTTCTTCTGTGACTCGAGTCATGAGCGTCATAAAGCTGAATTGTAAGGCAGGGTTAAACTGTCAGTGTGTACGGACTTAAAACACAGAGCACAAAACCTGCATTCAGAGCAATAGGGAAAAATAAATATCGCTCGTTTTTTTCGCTCTGTATGTAGTTATGTTTACAGAATGACCACCCTATTGAAAAAATCAGGTCATGACGGCTTGAAGTGGTTTGGCTGATTTTTATAATATGGAGCAGTTTGTTGCTGGGTCTCAACCAGCTTAGACAGCTAACCTAACCTTGTCTACCTGGTTGATCTAGACCCCACCAGAGCATTAGACCAGCTATTGGCTAAAATAACCAGCTTTGACCTGCTTGAAAGTTTGTAAAATAAGAATGTCAAAATAAAATAAAAAATAGGACTAGTATCAAGTCAATACT